AATTGAAAGCCGAACATCACAACACACCCACAATTGAAAGCCGAACCTGGGCAATTAAATAGAAGAGCTGTACTGAATATGAATAGTAATATTCGGAAAATATGTCCGCAGAAAGTTAGAATGCCGTGGTAGTTGTCCGCTCTCTGGTTTAAAATATATTTAGCTATAATCGAGAATTGTTTTTCTGCTTTTTTTCTAAATTTGCGAGTTTAATTTTTTTTTTTTTTTTTGTATAAGATATTTTTTGCTTAAATAATTTTTATATTTATTCTTGTTGTTCTTGTTTTCGAATTGTAACATGTTTTTGTGTCCTAGTTAATTTTTTTTGTAATTTAGGCCAGACTTGGAATAATTTCCGATTTATCCAATTCTTTTTTTTTCATTAACCCAGAAATTACAATTTCATGAATTTAATTTGTGAAGAAGAAAACTTGGAAACAATGAAATTTTGGACTTAACCTGAAGTAAAAATAAATGTATTGCTTATAGCCTAATTCTGTCAAAACGAATGATTTCGCGTAAATAGCTACGGTCACCCCTCCCATTGAAAATTGTTGGCATATAGTAAATATAGTTATTTTTTTCATTTTTTTTTAATTTTTTCCGAATTTTAATTATCTAAACAATAGTCACGCATGCTCAATTCTATGGCCATCATTGTTTATTAATTTCCTATTAGCCAAAATCAAAAAAGCCATAAAATGACGCTCTTTAAACAGGTGAAAAAATAACAGGTCCAAATTCTCTTCCATTAAGAAAAAAAATCGAACAAAAATTATTTCAAGAGTAAGCTCAAACAATTTGCTCTTTATAAAAGCTTCAAATTTCTCTTAGATAATTATCTCTTAAAAAAGCTACCACTAAAAGCTCATACAAACTTTTTCCAATTACATTTCTTAGTGGTGAGTTTTTTAAAGCTTTGAGAGAGAATGCTTTTGTAATTTGTTTACAGTTATTCTACGAAACAAGTCCAATAAGCGAAAGCTGTCAATAGGTGGCGTTAGTGAATTGACAAAAAACTTTTAGAGGGTCATTGGAAAATATTTATATATCTGCACTCAATATTGGCCCATCCAACTTTAGGTAGAGACTCTTACAGCCTGTTTTTGTAAAATTCCAAACGAACGAATTCGAGTGACTTACGACCAAACTCCTTGGTTTTGAAAAATATCTCATGTATTTTTGTTTTGAATCAGAAAACCTTTATAAACATAAAGTCACTCGAATTCGTTCGTTTGGAATTTTACAAAAACAGGCTGTTAACTCCACATTTTTTTTTAATTTTTGGACCCTTTTTCAATACGAATTGATTGTTTTAAATAAAATAAAACAATATTTTTTTAATGAAAAAAATACTGGGTTTATTTTTTTTTAAATTAAAATAAAACGCATGATATATTGTCAGGCCTATTCGTTATAGCGAAAAATTCGTTAGATTGCGAAGTTTTTATGGATCAATTTTATTTGAAAAAAAAAATGTTAATCCACTTTCAATGGATTTCTAACAAAAAAAATATCAATTAACGTGAGAACAGTAATAATAAAGTGTTTACATATATTTTTTTGTAAGGCTAGTCAAAATTTTTTTTTCGCCATTCGTTATACCCAGTGTAAAAAGTCGACTATTTTGTTCATTCGTTATATCCCGAATTCGTTAAACTGAATATTCGTTATACCAGGCGTCGACTGTATTTAAAAAACTAATTTTTGAATGAATCATATTTAAAAAGATTGGGAAGAAAATTAGTTTAAAAAAAATTTAAGTTTTTTTAATGTTAATGAAAAATGTTGCCGTTAATTTAATTTCGGGTTAAAAAAAAAATAAATTAAAATATTTAAAAAAATATAAACTGAAAAATATTTAAAAGATTAGGAAGAAAAATAGTAAAAAAAACAGTGAGTGGAGCAGTATAGTCGGACGGGCCGACCATATGATACCCTACACAACTTCCTAGAAAATCTCACTTTGTGTGATTCTATATTCTGAGTCTGGCCAATATTTCGCGATATTTGCACCCTCTTGACTGACTAGAGGTCAACAAATATTACTAATATACGGTCCTTCTAATTATTTGTCCAGATTCCTTTCACCGTGGGTTGTGTTATGATGTTCGGCTTTCAATTGTGGCCTATATACTGACTAGAAAAAAAAAACACAAAAAATTAAGTTTTCGGTCCACCTCATTCCAATATTATTATCTGATCATCACGGAAAATTATAGGCGTTATCCTTGACCATTCCTGGACCCTCATGGAAAATTTCAAAGCGATCCTGACTTTTCACACAAAAGTCAGGGTCCATTTGACCCGCTAAATATTGGCCGATCTTTATCAGAACAGGCATGCATATTCTTTGGCCCAATCCCCTTCTCCATGCAGAAATTCGTGATGTTTGGGCCATAATTGCGGCCTCTAGAGCGACCAGAAAATCAGACAAAAATTTAGTTTTTGGTCCATTTCATCCCCTAAATATTAACCGATCTTTACCAAAAACAATAGGGGTCTTCATTGGCCAGAACCCATCCTACATGCAAAATTTCGTGAAGATTGGTTCATAACTGCGGCCTGTATCGTGTTTACAAATTATAATGGACAGACGGACGGACACACATGTCTAGATCAACTCAGCTAGTCGAGATATGATGATCGGTATACTTAAAGGTGGGTCTAGGACCAATGTTTCGGTGCGTTACAAACTTTTGGGGCTGCACAAAACTATAATACCCTGACAACGTAGTTGTGTAAGGTATAATTATTAAACTGAAAAATATTTAAAAAGATTAGGAAGAAAAATAGTAAAAAAATATTCTGTCCTGTTTTTCCATTTACCCACAAATAAAGTTATGTTTTATATCACGCCGATTGTTTTTCCACAATATGTTTAAAAAAAATCACGCCAATTTTTCCGTTCAGAATTTTTTTTTTTAATCCGCACCGATTTCTCCCCTTTAAAGAATATTTTTTATATTTTTCTTATAAAAATGTTTTTTTAAATATTTTTCTTTTAAATATTACATAATAAATACAAACGATTAACATTGTAAATAAAAACGTCAAACTTACCTCTTCAATTGCCTCTTTGACAAAACAACTCTGTTGCTAATGTCCAATAAGATTCTTATACTCTTCCTATAAGAAGATCTCGTTATTAAACAACACACGAAAAAAACAACAACAAAACAAAAAACACTATTACGAATACACATAGTCTCACAAATGCATTCACTTTAACACATGTCAATTTATATGAAACGAAAAAAAAATATATGTATATATTTCAGTCAAATAATATTATTTGGCGCCAAAAATTGTTTCATATTACTTTTTACATCATTTATGAACTTCCAAAGACGCACGCACGCACAAACACGACCGAAATTGCACACTTAACATAAACCAGGCGTGCAACAAAAACACGGCCGTTATGTTGTTATTCTCCCGTACACGCACATACTCCCGCACTCTCCATATCAAAAGGAACGACAACAATTGAGGCAATCAAACTCACGCTTGCCGGTTGAAAAATTAAACACTTTTTTAAACATAATTTAAATATATTGCAACAATTATTTCACAAATATATGATTAGCCACGTATGTATTTACAATTATTTCAATTTTTTTTAACCATTTAAAACCGAATAATTCAATAAATTTAAATATTAACTTTCAACGAGCACAATTCACAACCGACCGCCATTTAAAATGAATGACAACTGAAGGAAGATGTAATTGGGAGAAAAAAAACAGTGTTGTCAATGCATTGCAAATTAGTGATTGCTATTGTTTTGGTGACGAATAAAAACGCCAAAGTTTTTAAGTTAATATTATTAAATGAAAAATTAAACACTTTTAAGACTTATTTTAATGATTGATATTTATTTTTCACCAATTATTTCGCAAATATTTGATTAGCCACGTATGGATTTATAATAAATTAAACTTTTTGTGCACTTTCAAACGAAATAATTCCTTAAATGTAAGTATTAACTTTCAACAAGTGCAATTTACAACCGTCGGCCATTTAAAATTGTTGACATATATGCAAAGGAAATGACAATTGAAACCCACTGGATTAACGAAATCTGGTTAAATGTAAACGTTCTATTATGCTCGTTGACAATGCCATTTCGCAAATTATTTTGCTGTTTTTTGCTATTGTTGTGAGTTACAGAGTGTTAAAATTGGAAAAACGCCAAAGTTTTTAGTTTAACATTTAAGCCGTTTTTAAGTGGTAAATGATAATGTAAAGCATTGTTTGGCGAAAATAATATTATTTGGCTGAAATATTTTTTCGTTTCGAAAAATGTTGAAGAGTTTGCGTTTGGGAGAGTATGCTTGTTCAAAATAGTGTTTTTGGTAAATATCATTCCCATATAAATAAATCCCCCTCCTTTTTAAAACTTCACTTCAATTTTGTTTTATGTTCTGCTTATCATAAAAAGCTGTTGTTTTTATTATTATCCACTAAAAAATTTTATACTACTTGCTATTAGTTTCAGTTGTTTTATATTTATCCATAAATATGGTTGGGGTTGTGCGTTTGTCTTATTTAAAATTTCTTTTTATTATTGATTTGTAAAAAGTGTAAAACAATTATACCACATACTCTATAAATATATATTTTTTATTCAATAAAATATAAAAAATAACAAAAACAAAGAGGAAAAAAAACTAAATACATTTTTTATTTAAATGGTTTACTAATCTAATTTAGTTTTTATAAAGAAATTGTTGTGTGTCTTGCGATAATTGGACTTTGTTTATATAGTAGTTTTTTTATTTATTTAAAAAAATTGTTAATATAAACTAGTTTAGTATTTTTGTTGTTTGTTTTTTGGGAAAGGGGTTTGCGTTCTTCTTCATTTACTGTAAATGAATATTTGAATTTTTATTTTCTTCACACACACATCAAATAGTTAAGAAAAAAATCATCATTCAATCATCTTCATATACCTTAAGATATAGATAGAAACGAACGTAATAATGGACTCTGTTACTTTATCGTAGATCAGGACTATCATCGGCTGCTTTTTTGATGCGCAACAATATCGTGGTGTACCATTGATCCAAACGTGAGATGCTATCATAGTCCTTAATGGCATCGGTAAAGCCATCGATATTTTGATCTTCCAAATGTTCGCAGAGTACCTAAGTTAAAAAATAATTTAGATATTTTTCTTAAATAATTTTTAATTTTAGTTTTACCTTGATCAATTTATATTCACGACAATCTTGAAAAGCTGGATATTGTTGACAATATTTTTCAATGGCATGTTGGGCATTCAGCAAATCAATGCTAAGATGACATAGGGCGGCCCGGAAAAAGTATTCCTTAGCACTGTATTTGAGCAATGAACTTTCCAAGGAGGAGGCAGCGACCTGAAATAGAAAGAAATTTAAAAAAAAATATTTTTTATAAAACCTACTTCTTCAAAAAATATTTTTTTATAAAGTCTACTCCTTCAAAAAAAATTTTTTATAAAGTCTACTCCTTCAAAAAATTTTTTTTATAAAATCTATGCCTTCAAAAATATTTTTTATAAAATCTACACCTTCAAAAAATATTTTTAATAAAATTTCACCTTAAAAAATATTTTCTATAAAATCTACGCTTTCAAAAAATATTTTTAATAAAATTTACGACTTCAAACAATACTTTAAAAAAAAAATACGACTTCAAAAAAATTTTTATAAAATTTACGCATTAAAAAAATATTTTTTATAAAATGTAGGCCTTCAAAAAATATTTTTTATAAAATCTACGACTTCAAAAAATATTTTTTATAAAATATACACATTCAAATTTTTTTTTTATAAAATCTACGCCTTCAAAAAAATTATTTTAAAATCTACGCCTTCAAAAAAATTATTTATAAAATCTACGGCTTCAAAAAATATGTTTATAAAATGTAGGCCTTTAAAAAATATTTTTTATAAAATCTACACCGTAAAAAAATATTTTTAATGAAATTTATGACTTCAAAAAATAATTTTTATAAAAACTACGCCTTTAAAAAATATTTTTTATAAAATCTACATCGTAAAAAAATATGTTTAATGAAATTTATGCCTTCAAAGAATACTTTTATAAAATCTACGCCCTCAAAAAATATTTTTTATAAAATCTACACCTTCAAAAAATATATTTTATAAAATCTAAGCCTTAAAAAAGTATTTTTTTTATAAAATCTACGCCTTCAAAAAATATTTTTATAAAATCTACGCCTTCAAAAAATACTTTTTATAAAATCTAGGCCTTCAAAAAATATTTTTTATAAAATCTACGCCTTCAAAAAATATTTTTTATAAAATCTACACCTTCAAAAAATATTTTTTATAAAATATACGCCTTCAAAAAAAATATTTTTTATAAAATCTACGTTTTCAAAAAATATTTTTTTTAAATCTCCGCTTTTTATAGCTTAAAAAAATTTTAAATCTCAGCCTTTCATGATTTTTAAAAATACTTTTTAAAAATTGTTTTCCATCCTCACCTGTTCATAAATATTAATGGCCTTTTCATAATCCTCCAATTGGGCAGCATATTGGGCAACTTTCAGCATACATTTATTAGCCGAACTGGTCGATTCTTCACCCTTAAAATAATCGGCTGCTTTCTCGTATTGTTCAATGGCCTGATGCAAGGTATTCGGATCACTTTCATACATTTCAGCAATGCTTTGATGATATTTTGCAGCCATTGTAAAGCGACCCATATCGGTGTAAATATCAATGGCTTTTAGGAGACATGCGACAGCACTTTCAACATCGACCTAAGGAAAGCAGAGATATATTAATCTCAAAGAAAATAGAATATCGCGTTGTTAACTTACCTTCTTATAACAATTGGAGGCATCAACATATGCAATGCCGGCATCATGGCGACTGCCACCACGGGAATGCAAATTTGCTGCCTCGCAAAAACATTCACCAGCCTTGGTCCAATTTTTGGACATTTTAAACATGTTGCCAGCACGTTGGTAGCATTCGATGGCCTCTTCGACTTTGTTGGAGCCACTGGAAGAATAAAAAAATAAAGCGATTAGAAAGAATAAAACATTCAAAAAAAAAACTACAAAGATACTAAAAAATGTCTGAACTCTTCATGACTTTGATCCTTGACTTTTTTTCATTTCAGGCGATTTCTTGAACATTCAAAACGAGTCACTATCATGAACAAAACTATTAGTCTTTCCAAAACGAAAATAACTGGTATATTTTCAAATATTCAAAAGTATTGTTGCAACGTATTCGTTTTAGTCCGTTTTCTATTTTTGCGACTGTATGTTTTTTTTCATAGGCCTGTATTTATTGTTCCTTTAATTACTATCTCCCAAATCAACCTTTAACCTCTCCTCAAGGTGTCCAACAACATTTCATATCAATATTAAATCAAATTGACCCTTACTTAACAGCTCAACATTTTCATTACAGCAACAATAAACACCTTTCGATGACATATCATTTACCCCCTACTCCTCCACCTTCCCGAATTATGAAATTGCTCCCAATAAGACGACATCACAGGTCTCGTCTTGTCTTTGCAAAACAAAGCAAATTACTGCAGCAACAACAACATCCACTACACATTAAACAATCAATCGCCATTAATACTATGTAAAAATACACTAAAAAATTAATCAATATTCTTTTTTCCATTATTACAAATCATGATTATGACCAGAAGGAGCAAATAGAGTATACAAACCCAAACAACATTCCAAAGAAACTTTTCTGCTGTGTTAGCTTCTTTCCAGCCTCGGCCATTAGCTGTAGGGCTTTCTCTTCATTGTCGCCCATGGTGGTTTCCAAACTATTATTTTATTGAATTTGAATTAAAGAAATACGAATATTTTTATATTTTTCCAAAACGATGACGTTTTTCTGTGGCCTTTTTCACTTGCGAAATGTCTTGTCTTTGTTGTTTTTCTCCACCTCCTATTTGTAGTTAGGGTTATGCAGTTTGACGTTTAACTAATCGATTTATCGATTAGTGGTAGAAAAATCATATGGAAAACCATTGTTTACATGTAATACATAAGTTAAAATGGAATTGTTGTTGTAATATAATATTTTTTGGATTTAGAATTACGGGCATGGTAGCCCCTCCCTTGATCTTCCAGTTAAAATTTATGGTTTTTGACCGCTGGAATATCTCCTTTTCATATTTCAGCTAATCAAAACATTGTAAGCCAAACTGAATTGATATCCGAATGAATTGAATGAGAAATGCGAAAAACAAAACAATGCTTCTTCTTCGTTGTGGTCTTACAATTAAACAGGTGGCATTCACATTTATTGATGACTTCATTTGGTCTGTGCAAGTACTCAATAACTGATAAAACTTTTTAAATGTAGATTTCCGAGATTTATTTCAATTTTAACATCTACAACGAAGTCTTTAGGCAAGTTCTGTCCGGTCGCGGATGCTTTTGAAGTTTTTATTGGGGCCCTGATTATGACAATATACTTTTTCTTGCGGAAATCCATATTTTCGAGAATATGGAACTCCAGAATACCGCAGGGACCCTTTTATTTTGTCACACTTTTTGTAATTACTTATCAAAGAAGCCCATATATCCTGAAATATTGATTGTCGGTTTTTGGGTCTGACGAAAAGTCGACTTTCGATTGGACAATGAGCCTAGGTACTTCACCAGAGATAATTTCATATAATGGAGACTATGTCAAATCTTAGACATATATAAAACTTTTTTTGCAAAGGTGTTTTCACTGGGAAAAATCGGATTAAACATTCTGAAAATAATACGGCATGAAAATCTATACCTATCTGTGCCCATCAAGAACCGACAGCGCCAAATTATAACCAAACCAAGAAGAAAATACTCCCTGGACCATCGAAATGTAAAAAAATGGATCGGATCCGATGTACAGGCTTCATACCAAAACGTGGACCTATGTTGAAAAAGTTCAGCAAAGAATTTTTTCCCTCCAAAATCTTCAGAAATTCGAATTACATCCACTTCTATTGAAAATTGTGGCTATAAACCTTTTATTAGAATGCCGAAAATGGTGCGGTATCTATGTTTAGTTTTGAGCACCTCTTCAAAATATAACACGTTCCTTGGAAACCCTTCCCCCTAAAACTGTCGTCTTGGTAAAAATAAAAGTTGTCCCGGCCAATACCATCCAAATCCGATCTAAGAAAAAAATACGTAGCTGTTGATCTAGACTAATTTTCGAAAAAGTATGGTCCAATAACTTCGGAAACAGACCAGAGGTTAAGACCATCTGTCGAGACGATTTTCCGATGGATTTGATCCTTTTCTTGTTCTAACAGGTTGAATTTTGTACACTAAATACTGTATTACGTGCTTCTCGAAGACCACTTTTGGGTTATGCGATCTGTGAAGGCGTGTTTTCCCCATTTTTTTTTGCAGCTTAGTTTCTACTCCTTTTACAATAAACAAGGTGAACTTAACATGCCACACCTGAAGTCCTCTTATTCCTTTTTATCATTTTTATCTTATTTTCTGGACTAGAACATCAAAATTCCTTTAAACCCCATTCACTGTGAACTCTTCTTTCCACAATTTCACTTCATTGCCATACGTCTTTCTAATAGGTTGTACTTATGACAAATCTTTCCCCTTTTTGACAACAGTTATCGATTATCCCCAACTATCGAAATCGTTATTGATGAAAGAAAACGAAACAGAAGAAGAAGAAGCATGAGACATCTCGTTCGGATCAGTCAGTGAGAAATTAATTTATTAATAATAAAGTTAATAACAGAAAAAAGCAAACGCGACGCATCGCTCGGAAACAAAGAATAATACTTCAACAAAAACAAATTGAAGTAAATTGTTGTTTTTCTGGATGACAAAATCGATAAAAAATTCTTTTAACATATTTTTGCTCACGACAAATTAAACAGAAAAGAAAAATACCAGTGTAAAACGACGAAGTGAATACAAAAATTACGTAGAAAGAAAAAAAGTTTTCCAAACAATAATTTACTGCATACTTCACACAAAACAACAACAACATATTACACAATAAAGAGCTACTAGTTTTTCTACAATTGATTATAAATATTTAAAATAGAAAAAGAAATATCTATAGAGAAGAAAAGCATATATATTTTTGTATACGATTTCCTTTTTTTGCTCTTGATGTAGTGGATACCCGAAGAAGAACCCTTGAAAATTGATTTTCCCCAACCGACCAACCAACCAACAGCTGTAATTGTACCGAGGAAAAAAGTGCAGAAAAATAAATATAATACATATGTATATGTAGTGTATATATAAAGTGTGTGTGTGTCAGTTTGTGCGTGCGTGTGTTTTGCCGTTGACGTCCACTCGCCCTGTATTATAACTCGAATTTTATAGTGCATTTGTTTGTCTCCCTCGTCAACGAAGAAAAACAAAGAAACAAGAAATCGGTTTTATTAGACACAAAGGCTCCATTTGGCAAACTTTAATAAAAAAACAAAAACAACAAATAAGTGGCCATTATTAAAATTAAAAAAAAACAAATCGTTTAATAAATTAAAGTTTTTTGTGAAAATCTTGACCATCTAACTTTGCTGGTTCTGCCGCTGTTTTCGTTGCTGCTGTCGTCACCGCCGCCGCCTTCTACTCTCTGCCCATTATTGCTGTAATTTCCAGTCATATGCAATGAATATTGTCGGTGATTATGAGTATAGTTCGAAGGATATGCTGGGCCATGGCGCCTTTGCCGTTGTCTACAAAGGACGTCATCGCAAGGTAAATAGAAAATGCAAAAACTGCATAATTTATAATCACTCCCTCACTTTATAATGTTGTTGCTCCTTCTCTTTTCTTCTTTACCTCCCTCTGTCACAAATGATGATGGAGCTTTCCATTGCAAATGTAGAGTGTAAATGGAGCTTGTTTTGTTTCGTTGTATTCTGTTTTTTTCTTGCCTTCTTTTGCCGTTTGCCTTGGACATTTGCAAATAACTGTAAATTGTTGCTGGGCATTTTATTCTTGCTTCTATGTATGCCATTTGTTATTGTTTTTTTTCTGTGGGGTTTTTGTTTTTGTTATTCTTTAACAGCAATTCTATGCAATGAGAATTCATTTAAGAGAGCGAGCCGTTGTGTTATGGTTTTTGTGAGAACTCTCGGTGTAAAGTCATTGAGAGATGACTGGCCGTAAGCCGTAATGTCAAAAATATGCAATTATGAAAGGCGAAATATTGTGAATTTCAAGTGTTTTAAATTAAAATAACTTAAAAAATCATATTAGCGGGAATAAAAAAGACCTATGCTATGTTAAGAAATACATTTGCCACTTAAATAGAGGGATAAAATTGTCTGAATGGCGAAAAAAGTCTTGGGGGAAACTGAATGGTAGTCTGCCGGTGTCAAGTAAGTTAGAATTTTTAGAAATTATAGATTTTTGTAATAATTGTTTTATATTTTGTAGAAATAAAACCCAAAAGGACATTAGCCAGTAGCTCAGCATGCATTTGAAAATAATCCAAGAAGGGGTTCGAAGAGAAATGTGGGACCCAAAGTCCTTAACGTTTTGCCAACTCACTGAGACACAGTTCCTATTACGTGCAGATAATCTGCCGGGACAAAGTTAGAAGATAATTGGAAAATTAAATTATACTTATACATATTAGTGGAAATGATTTGGCCTCTGTGATAAGTTAAAATATTAACCTGTCACTAAAATTATGTGATCATATGTGTCAAGTGAGTTAACATTTTAGAAATTTAAGATTTGTATATATCATCAAGGCAGGGAAACCTAATCACTCACTACCGAAGATCTAGAAATCGACAAGGCGCTTTTCAATTCCACAAAGAACAGTGGGAAGATGAAAGAAAATATGCACATTGTAATTAAGAGGAACCCAAACAAAAATTTAGCAGATTATTAAAAACGAAGACTGTGTTCTTAGGGACTAAGAAATTTAAACATCAGGTTTCATTTGAGTCTTAGGAATTAATGCCTGTCCTTCATAAAATGAACCATGGTTTTATCTGATCCATTGAAAATGAAAAAGGGGTTCATCTGGTCTACAAAATGATCCATAGGTTGTTGTAACAGCCGAGTAAAACTCGGGTCGTTTCGGATTGTAGACCCCTATGTCTTGGAAACGATTAACCATGCCTATGGACTAAGCTGAGAGACGTGGCCGAGTAAAATTCGGATCGTTTCGGATTGTAGGCTCCGCTGTATTGGAAACGATGAAACATGTTTACATCTGGTTTATTAAAAGTTTATAGAAATTGGTCGTCAGAAGGCGTAGATTTTTGAAATATTTTTTTCTGTGGTCCTAAGAAAGCTTTTTTATGGTCTTTAAGAAGACCACGGACCATTCTTTCAATATTCATCTGATCAATATAGAATTAAACCTGGGTTCATATGGTCAATAGAAAAATGAACCTTGGATTTATCAAGCCTGTAAAAATGTAAGGGCTTTCATATTCGATGTAAGATACCAATGTCTTTATAGATGTACTGGAGAACCAAGGAGTCTTTTTGGAGGAGGTGATGGGCCAGTAGTCTCAGTAAAAGAGTTGAAACGCCAAAGAGGCAAAGGGATTATCTGTAGAAATTAGTCCATGTCTTCATAATTTCCATAGAAAACGAAAAATGGTTTTTTATCGGCAATTGGATTCGTTTTGTCCACAAATAGTAAACCAAAGGATCATAAGCTATGTAGAAAATAAAAGCTGGTGTCATCAGCTAAGTCATACCCTATTTTTTATTTACTGCTGCTTTTCTCACTTTTGCTGCTGCTTTTGAAAATGATTTTTGTTTATAATTAACTTTTTTCACATAAACAAATGGATTG